AAGTTCATCCTGGCAAGCTTCAAGCCAGGAGTCCGTGTCGGGTCGATCTAGGGCTTCATGATAGGTGCGTGGAACTTCGGTATGGGCTACATAGGCATGTACTTCGCCCTCTCGTTGGGCATTGTTTGGTTTGTCAGGCTGACCTCCTCGATCATAGGAACTAACAAAGTATCGGTCGTCATCGTCTCGTACTTGGGGTCGGCGTATTCGTCCTGATCGTCTCAGCATTTCTGGCACTACTTCTTCTCGCGCATCATCATTCAACCCATCTTCAACTCTACCATTCATCTCTCCGGATTCCTTATTTCCACCCTCCACGATGCTTGTTGCACCTCCTTCCACCCTCTGACCCTCAGCTTCTTCATCCCTTTGAACAACATGTGATCCCAACACAACTTCGGGCACTTCAATAGTGACACACTCTGACTCAGTAGACCCTTCGAAGAAATGGACATCTTGGGATTCGTGGATTCTACAGGTAGTCAGGTCATAGATGATGAACGCCTTTTTACCGATGGCAAGTCCAAGGTGGACTCCCATTATAGAGCGGCTTGCAAGCTTGTCCCATTGGTTCTCAGGTACAGCAAGAGTGGCTTTGCAGCCAAAGGTGCGTATGGTGGAGACAGATGGCTTATTTCCTGTCCACAGTTCGTAGGGTGAAATGCCATCTGGGAGTGATGAATGTGGGACAACATTTTTGATGCAAGTAGCATGTCATAGGGCATATGGCCAAGCAGTGCACCCGACTAGAGACTTCACGCTTTCCAACATCGCGATCGTCATAGTGACCAGTGTTCTGTTAACATGTTCAGCCACACCATTTTCCTGTGGTGTGTTGGGATTTGTCTTTTCATGGACTATCCCAGCATCCTTCAAATACTTGATGAAGTCTGAAGAGAAGTACTCTCCTCCTCCATCAGTGCGCAAGATTTTGAGTTTGTTTCCAGATTGCCGTTCTGCCTCTGCCAAGAATTCTTTGAGATTTCAAGAGCATCACTCTTTTTCTTGATGAGGTAGACGGTGAGGAATCGGGAATGGTCATCGACGAATGTGATAAAATATCGGAAGCCTTCTCGGGTGATGGTTTGGACTTCACAGACGTTGTAACGGGTCTATCGCCTAGACTCGAGACAGAGAAAGGGGGGAGGGTGGTAGTGAATGCGTGTGTGGTGGAGGTTCGGTTCTTTGGGTCCTGGGGTGCTAGCGGGTCTGTTAGAGCCTCAACTCAACACTCACCTACATCTCTCTTGGATGTCAAGGCCGAGGGTTATGAGGAAAGGGGTCTCAGATGTAAGCAAGTAACTCAGGGGAGGCGTTAGAGTCGTGGATGGCGTCTTTGCCACTTGGATGTAACTTCTGCTTTCTCTTTCACGGGTCTATTCAGTACTAACTTGTTATGTACAAGCTGTTATCTAGTTTATATATGTTTGAAATGGAATGAATGGACTGGGGGAATGTAAACGGGCCGTTAGGCAACCGTAAATGATGAATATCCAATTGGGAACAAAGAAACAATAAAAGAAATATGAATGAATGGGGGATATATCATAACGGGTCCGAAATGGGAAATGTAAAAGTTAACTCCGCAACGCTTCGCCACAGCGCCCGCCTATCATCCCGTCAGCAACCTCCTCGTCTCCAGCTTTCCAACGAGCCCCTATTCGTCCCATTTGGTGCAGTAGTTGTTGAGATGTGGCCATTGACAGGTACTGTCAAGACCACGTGAGACTCTACTCCGTGCTGAACCATCCGGGCATGGGATTGCCATTCTGGGAAATGCTCCGGGGGTGAAGAAGGAAGGCAGAGCATCACTATCGGGTGGAAAAACGGCTGGGTTGTATGTGTAGGTATGGAGATCTGGAGAGGGGGTGAAATTGGCGGCGTGGTTTGGCGTGGGAATTTTGCTTGGGGTTGTCGGGAATGATGGGGAAAATAGGGAAAAATAAGGAATGAGTTTGTGGAGTGTTGGATAGTGTTAGAATGAACATCGGGAGCGTCAGAGGGTATGTGGTATATGTTGGTGGCCAAATTCCACAGAATCCGACTTTTTGCGGTACACGGAGTTGTCCCCACAACAACGTCGGAGAAGACTCGTCCAAGGACTTCCTTGGAACAGGTAAGTGTTTCTTTTGGGATTGGAGATCGGGTATGTCCTGATGCTTCACATTCCTCACAGTATTCTGTTGGCTCGTTTCCTCCTATATCTATTCCCCTGGCCATACCACTTCAGACCATTTTCAGGATTGAATCCACTGAAATGTGTCCAAGTCGGGCATGCCACACATCAATGGAGGCTGTTGCCGTTGCTGCACGTGCAAGCCAGGCAGCCTCGACATTGTCTGTTTCATGTTTCGTGATGTATGCCTGTTCCGCTCCAAAGATAGTGCAGGTTAATTGATATAATCCATTTGATGAGAATGCCATCCCAATGAGATCATTGTTGGGATTGTATATCTGACATTTGTTGTTGGCGAAGTGGATATTCGATCCGCATTTAGTGAGGTGTGTGACGGATAGTAGGTTGGTGCCGATCTGGGGGCAATAAAGTACTTCCTTGAGTATGGCATGTTGCTCACCGAAACTATTGTGAATGATGACATGTATCTGTCCTTGCCCGATGGCATTCAAGATGCGTTTATCACCAAGGTAAATGGGACGGGGAGGATTGAGAGATGTAAAGAATGAGAACCACTCGCGGTGCATGCACATGTGCGATGATGCACCGGAGTCCACAACCCACTCAGATATCTGAGTAGGACTGTGTTTTGCAACTGCAGCATGTTCTCCAGCTAGGAGAACATCCACTTTAGCTTCCTTCTTGTTGTCCTTTGAGGGTTTCTTGGACTGTCCATTGCTGGACTTTGGCAGACGTTGTCCCTCAGATCCACCCCCTTCGGCCCAACACTGTTCAAATGTGTGGCCTATTTTGTTACACTTCGGATTAGTGCAACGTGGGCAGTCTTTACCCTTCTGGGACTTCGTTCCTGCTAGTTTGTTGCCTTTCTCCAGTAGTTTCGCAGATTTAACAAGTAGTGCGGCTGTCTCAGCCTCCTCACTTTTAATAGACTTTTCTTCTCTGATGATCTGGCCTATGAGGGTTTCACAAGCTAGTGTCGATGCATCCTGAGTATTGGCTATAGCTATAGTCTTGAGTGGTTTATATGCAGGTGGAAGAGCTTTTGTCATATCCATCCCCGGCCATCGACTTCCGGTCCCTCCGATCCCTCCGTTCCAACTCCGCTCCTCCCTCACTAACCTCGGAGCCCCTGTATTCTGCAATCCTCTCGGCACCCCTCGATGGTCACCACCCCCTCATTTCAATTTATTACCTACGCCTCCCTAAGTACGGAGCCCTGAAGACTTCCAGACAGCTCCGACGTCCGCTAACGCACCCCCGCCTCCGCTGGGCAATACACTCGCCTGCCCTGCAGAGCCCACCTTCAGGCCTATCCCTCCTTTCCGTTTCTGGGTTATCGCCTGCCTTTCCGCTAACCCCGCGAACCGACTCATCAGTAATATTCAGTCGGCTAATGTTTAAACCCCGTTAGCTCTGCTCCGTTCGGCTCCGCCAATTGCGGAACCGTCTCCGCTGTAACCATATATATATCCCACTTGTACATAGGTTACGCCCCAGTAGAAAAATCAACTAGAGTTACCCCCCTAGGTTCTAATTGCCAGTCAGTAAGTTAGGGCACGGACGTGTCACTAGGCACAGCGCTCTTGGCAGAAGTCGCTGAGGCCGAAGCCCTCCGTTACGGAGACATTCCTTCGTCTCGAATCTGGTCTCTGACAGCTTGGCGATAATCAGCGCAAATTTTGCGTCTGTTATAGTGTCACCAAGTGAATCCAGTTGTTGGCGCAGTATCTGCATCTGATTGATCTGAGGCTCCAAAGGTTTGGAGTCATCCAGTTTGATGTGGTGTAGATCATAAGCCAGGTCCGAGGCATCCAGAGCCCCTTGTCTGACAAAGCGCTTCTCTAACACTACCCAAGCCTCTTTTGCGCTTTTCTTGTCTTCGGCAATGTTAAGCGGGTTTTCTTCAAGCATGAGACAGATCTGTGCTAGCGCTCTCTCATCCTTTTCATCCCAAACTTGGGTAGGGTCCGGAGAGGGAGCTGTAGATGTTTGCAGAGCAGCAGGAGTTTGTGAAGCCGTGGGGGATTGTGGAGCAGCAGCAGAAGTAGAGATAGGAGTGGGGCGATTAGAGGTTGTTGCCTTAGGGTTTACAACGCTCCAGAGACCTCTGTCTATGAGCACCATGCGGCAGCAGATGGACCAGATCCAATAGTTCTTTCCATTGTTCTTCAACTTTTCAATGTTATGAACGCTTTTGGTATTATCGTTTGAGTTGGCCATCTCTGGGCTCATAACCTTTTAAATATAAGGCTATGGCACGTAAGTGTCTGCGCCAACAAGTTAGACAGTTTTTGTAAAGAATAATAAAATCTATCTCACCTCAGACTCATGTTAGAGATCTGAGGGAGAGGGAGTCCAAAAAACTCCCTTCTTATACACAAACTACACCAGTGGCGAGCCCATCACATAAAGAAGAAAAATGGGGTGCAAAAGATGTGCCCCAAAACTTCACTTCCGCCACCAACAATCAACACCGTCCTCGCCACTCCATCGTTGGAACCAATTGTTGATATTCCAACATTTGCTAGCAAAGATTGTTGGAGAATAGCCTTGAAACATGTATTTACATATGTTTGTGCCGACAATTTTAGTCAGTGGTTCTACTGTCATCTAGTCTGGCCCCGGCCTCGTTGTGGCCTCATCCCTATGGTTTTCTATAAAGATTCTATGGAACAGCCTCCTTGTCAAGCATACAACATTATGATCGATTTTGGTGATCTAATTTGTGTATTTGCTGACAGGGTTAAAAGCATTCCATAATTATCTAGAACTTTCTCATTCAACCCGCTCCATTCCCACGCTCGTTAGCGCCGAGAGGTTCGTGACATTGGGTTGTACAAGAAATGGGTTTTTATAGTCAGGTGCTATGAATGCGCACTGACTTTGGCATGGATGTCACCAAGAAAGGTAATAGGTGAAAATCTAAGATGCCACACGACTCAACATCACCAAATGTGAGTTTGTCATAGCGTACACCATAGTACCAAGAATTCCAACAAACCTCTAGTCCTACAGTCATTCCGCATATCCTATATACTGCGATGGCACCGTTGAACCTCACAACACTCAACGTCATTGTCATAAACTGATCTGAGGGTTGCTGCCCTTGCCGTGATTGCCGAGGGTGAATGCCCCGGCGCTTGAGCTGTTGATCCAAATAAGGAAATCCCTGTCGTGAGCCACGATCTTGCCAACTTTTCTAGGCAGAGGATTCACCGGCCCCACTTACCCGTTCGAATCGAAACCGGCAGATTTTTTTGCACTTTGCTGTAGGACAGGAGCGTAATCGTTGAGTCGGAAATTTGCTCACTCAACGCCGCTGGCCGTTGAGTGGAGTTCAAGTTGCTATGACCAGTCCTGACTATGATGTTTTTAGTTTTGTCGAACTCGACGCTGATCCAATCCGTCTGTACGTGATCCCTTTTTGGCCCTGCTCGCAGGTCACAACCGCCACGCAAGCATTGAATACACAGACCGGGTGCAAAAATAGCCGCCAAGAATTGTCGAATGCTCATAAGATTATCAATTGAGTCATGGCAGTTTATGGTACCGGCTTATCTGCAAGGTTTTCAAATTCTTGGCTTCGCCCGCGCGGTTCGTTGCTGAACAGCGGCATTATTCCAATAAGGAGTTCACCAAATGGGCGGGGTTCTCGTACACTAGGCAGAGATAAGGCCCGGCCCATTTATACAGGTGAATCGGGGTGGGTCGCCAATAGTGAGACGCTCCTCTTTTGCTGTTGAAGCAGACCTGATGAGACGAATACTGGCAAAACTTTGGCCGATTGCTGTTGCCTTGATTGTTACCTTGTTCATTGCGACCAGCCTTGTCGACCCCCGCATTCCACCTTCACGTATTCCTAACCGGCGCGACACAAACTCAGCGCTTGAACCATTCGTCGCCCTTAATAGCCCCTTTGTACTCCCCGCTCCGCCACCTTCCGAGTCCTTCCATAGGGGAACCAACTTCCAACCACTCGTGGCAGCGGCAGACACATGTCAAAACGGCACTTGTGAGTCACCCACCTAACTAGTTGTTTCCCGAACCAGCCAGCGCTTAGGTTATTATAACCATCAAGCCTTCTGTGCTCCCAACTGGTGTTGTACCGGTGGGAGTGTGTGTGTATGATCAAGTCCTTGAAACACTTTAGGCGTGTTCTTACTCGCTCCGTCAGTGCGTAGATGGCAGTGGGTGTTGTGAAGAGGGCTATTCCGTCAGTTTCCCACTTCATACAGGCTGTGCAACGCATTGAATGATTCTTCACCCTAGTGTTACGCGACAAACTCGTGAGTTGTCAAGTTTTGAGCGTATGAGCGGTTGTTTATCGATGCATGGTAGTCCTGAAGCTAACTGCATGCCGCCTGGCGCGGTGCCTTGTGGGAAGGGTTACTGCAATCCAGGCAATTATGTGAGTGCTTCCCATAACGTCTCGGTGTCGTTCTGCTTCTGATGCTTGGAGTAGTGTGTTGAAAATGGGTCTGTCAATTATTTGACTCCTAATTCACAGCCTCACGGTCGCTATTCTCCAGTTGCATTCCGAACGGTGGGATCCCCTGTGGTACTGGTCATTACTGTGAACAGGGTAAAATATGTTGCCGGCCGGGTGTCAGTTGTATGTAATAAACACAAGGACTTATCGCGTCCCTGAACTCCCACGATCACAGGCTGCAATCCAGGATACTCATGCGGATCGGATTATTCTTGTTATGCAAGCACTTCAACCCCCACCTCTACTACTTCTACCGACCCTCCCACCTCCACTACTTCTACCGAACCCCCCACCTCTGTTGCTTGTACCATCCCTCCCACCTCCACTACTTCTACCGAACCCCCCACCTCTGTTGCTTGTACCATCCCTTCCACCTCTACTACTTCTACCACCCCTCCCACTTCGACTACTTCTACCACACCTCCCACCTCTATTGCTTGTACCACCCCACCTACCTCAACTACTTCTATGACTACTACCACGACTACTACCACGACTACTACGACTACTAGTACCACTTCTACCACCCCTGCCTCTACCACCACCACCACCACTACCACCGCCTCTACTACAACCTCCACCACCACTACCGCCTCTACAGTCACCTCTATGACGACTACTACCATCCCGACCTCTACAACGGCCTCTACTTCATCGATAACTCCGGCACTGCCGACGATCTACTTCGGGAATGTCCGTGGAATAAATGATGCGGTCAGTTATGCCTCCGAAGTCATGTTCAACCCTTGACATAACTATGTACTTTTCTCGAAGGTCACTCGGAATATATGTGATGGTGAGCAATATCTCCCTCTTAGCACATTTGCCTCATTCTGAAACTGGTATTACCGCTTTTTGGAGGTTTGAGAAAGCGAGGCAAAGGGGACTCGGAAGTTTTAACATATGCCCAGCGAACCGAGAGCCAAAAGAGAACGATTCACAATCAAGCTGGATGCGTTGTTAGCAAGTGCAATTCAACTGCCACAGGCCTCTCATGCAATGAGGTGCGACAGGAGATTTATGACATCCAAAATGAAGTCACACAATGCGTCTTATTCACTTACGATAGTACCCTTTTGTATCCACGCAAGAAGGGGTTACCGGTACGCAAATTACATGCGTCCCTGCCTTCCAGAATACATTCCAAGGAACCTATCTCAATTATTTCATTTCCCAATATCATATTTCGGACGGCACGAAGTTCCTTGTCCAAGCAAATTGCAATCAATTGGCCAAGCGTGTTTCGGTTGAGGGATCCGGCTCAAGTGGTGAGTTGTATAGCCAACCAGTCATGCCCGGCACACTTTTTCGTCCAACTGATACTTGGGATGCCTATCTGTTGTCTGCAGGAACGCTACTACCACCTTTCGGCTTAACCTCGGATAACTCTTCTGGGCATGTTGTACTCCCACTTGGTGATCTGCAAGCGGGGGAGTAAGTTTGGAGAAACCGCTTATTCAAGTCGCAATGTTAACCCTGTCCCCTTCCCTTGGTTCAGTTACACGACACAGACAGCATCTGACAAACTTGCCGGCGTCGCAGGGAATGTCGCCATTTATGATTCGGATGGCGCAAGTTTTTCTCAGTGAGTTTGATATAATGGATGACAAGGATTCCCGTTCTGACGACGTTTTGTTGAACTGTCTCCAGAGCGTCCATTGGCAAGAATGGAGATAACTCTTTGGCCTTCACCCTCCACCAAGATGGGACAGGATTAGGTGCCGTGGTCTCACCCCAATCGCCCATTAGTGGGAACATATCAGTCCGCTACAACTTCACCGGTAACCTCTTTCCTCCAATCAAAGGTGTTAGCCCTACACCCAACCATCCAAACTTGATGGTCTTTTTCGGAGCGTTCATTGTACCGGTCCTTCCTCTGGTTTGGCTATGAGATCGCCTACACCTCGTTGAGTATTGTCATTTCTTGTGTTACTCTCCAACTTCTGGAGACTTTGTGATTTTGTGACCTACGTCTAAACAACGAACCAGGCATATCACATTTAATTCATTCCTCTCTCGAAACTCATATTCACGTTAAAGAATGCTCCAAATACCAGTCTGTTCCATCGCTATGGCAGCTCAATGGTAGGAGCCCTTCAATCAAGAGTCCGGGACTCCGCCTTGACGAGCAGTCCTGTGTTGGTGGCACAATCCTTTCCTCGCTCCGTTCCGCCACGTCTTTGTGGCTGGCTGAAGGGCAGTACAGCCTCTAGACTTCTGGTAAAGGATTGATTCATGGCGGCGCTAAATGGCGCCCGAAAGGGGAACTTATGGAGAAGATGCGTGATTTGATATACCCTACGCCTGTTGCGGCTAGCGCACATACCTTGTAAGATGAGTCGACGGTCAACAACCTCGATTCCCAGAGGCAACGAACGAGCAGACGAAGTTGCCAAAGGCGGTGCTCATCCAAAAACCAACAAGCCTCGACACGAACTCCCCGTAAAGGGATTACAGAAGAGTGAAATGTTGGAAAATACTACCCCTTTTCAGCCACGCAAAGACAAGGGTGATATCTGCGGGGCAGAAACTTGGGCAAGGAACACACTAGAGGCATGACGCGGTTCAAGAGGTTGAGACATCTACTTCGTCGAGGATCCTAAGCTAGCAGTAGCAGATTCAGCACTGCAGTAAGGCATAACTTAGATTGGCGGAGTTTACCAACAACTCCTGAGTAATCGACATAACCAAGGACCGTACAACCCAAAGCACTGGCGAGCTGGTCCGAACAGGAGACGGAAGGAGGGCAGGACATGGGGCAGGGAATTAGCTACTTTATACCACCCTGCCCCGACGAAGATCCCGGAACACCTGCCTTACGACGATTCACGAATCACGCCAGACTCCTCCCCAGTCGCTCTCCGATTTGCCGAGGTTTATCCGCAACTTCGTGGGACCTCTAATCTAACGAGCGACTGGCACAACTTGTCACACGTGACATTCCCACGGGGGTGTCGCCTCGTGTACGAGGCATGTCAATCTTGCGCTGGTTGGAACTCTGTATATAAGTAACAACAGCCTCACCAGCTTGGCCAATAATTATAGTAATCTGTACAACCCTGTTACATCAAATCTGCGCTTGTACTAGATGAGCTGGCCCTCGATAGCCACTATCCTCTGGCAGATTGAAATGTCCCCGTTACACGATTTGCCTAATTTTCTCTGTCATATCCTGGACAGTGAGAGGGAAGAATATCGGGCTTCAGCTGCAGCAGTTAAATCTCCACCTGGCATACATCTCATTCTCAACTCCCTCTTATGTGCTTCTCGACCTACAGTCACGGAATGGGCAATCAGCATTTCCCAAGATGTGCTAAGACAGGAAATCATCCGAGCATCAGACATTGAGTCAGGATTACATTTCAATGCTTCACATGCTTGCTCTGCCGACCTTGTGGGATTTGATCTTCGAGGGATTGCGGAAAAGTTTGGAAATGCTGCTCCGTTGACCTGGAACCTTGTCCAGATACTGCTGGATGCAAACTCAAGTATCCGATATCGCAGACGGAGGTGTTACAAGAAAGCCACTGACCCCGAAAGCCACCGCAACTGACAAGGGCAGTTAAACAAAATACCGATGGGTATTAGGAGTGGAAATGGAGGGTCAGATGAGGAGAATGATGATGCCGTTGATGCCGAAAATGGTGCATTGTTATCTATTGTAAGCAATCAGCATTGAAATGAAGTGCAGCTCACATTCAATACTAGAAAGGATGCGTCATTCTATCAATCCTCGCAAATAGTACGAATTCCCAGTGCAATGCCTTCCAAGCTGTCCAAGGATTCTTCTTAGAATCAGTAAACACACCGGAGCGAGTCATAAATGTGCTTGCCCATGGTGGATGGAGTGTCTCTGTGATGTCCGTGATAAATATGGTGAAGTCGCTAACAGTTGAGCGACAGAAAATCATACGTGATCTATCCAAGGATGGTCTATGTGCACTGGCATATGACAATCTTGATTTCAATTTCAAGCCAAAGGAGGCCATGTTAGAAAATCCTGGTACATTTGAAAGCATCACAACTGGTACTTTCATACCATTGGGACATGGCACAACACTGAATGACTTACGGTTCTCAGATGAGCTATGGAGGAAAAGCTCATTAAATCCGCAAGGCACAAAGGATGTCACTCCTTCGCATCTGCCATCACAGAAGTATATCCTAAAGCGAGTGGGAGAGTCAATCCCACACATAGAGCTGGCAATGCGGTGGTACATCAAGAGTGTAATTGTGGAGTACCTTCCTTCGTCATATAAGGACCTTCTTGGTCCGATGCCATCATCAAAGTGGATAGGTGTCGAGAAATCAACTCAGCAGCCAGCACGTGCAATGCACATAAAGGCATCATGCAACGATGGGAATGTTGAGATTGTAGATAATCTTGAATGCCAGCTGGGTACAAAAAGTGAATGGTATGACTCATACATACGTTTATGCCATGGTGACCTGGGCACACAAGAACGTCACGACAGCACAACATTCTTCCATGCAATCGAGAATAGTAGTCAGAATAGACTACAGTGGCTTGTGACAGTACTGGGGGTATTCCACATTCGGATGGCAGCCATTGATGCCATTTGGAGAACACATATTAGTGGACATGCATTGCAATCAAATGAAGGTGGCACTTACAAACTGTTTCAAACCCTCCGCCCTCGAGACTTCATGAAACTTAGTAGGAATCCAAGTTATCGTATGCTGAATGATGGGATCATGCACCTCGTGAAAGCACATATAACAGTGTGCTGGGAGCAGGTGCTTGGGAACAGTGATCTGCAAGGATTTTCTGAAACCGAACCGGCATGGGATACAATCGATGATCTGGCACATCAAATCTTTATCAAGCACTTTGCGGGAAACAACTTCAATGACTTACGGGATCTACCCAACTCCAAATGTGATAGGAGGCTGGAAAATCAGCTGCTGTTTAATCAGGATGGGCTGATGTATGTGTTACTAGCCCAGGCATCAAACACTGGAGCAGTTGGTTTCATAAAAGATCTCCTATGGATATGGGTGCCGATGTTTCGTGCATGTGGAAAACATAAGTATGTGGCACATCTCTCCAAATTCCTTCGAGATTTATGCAACACTTACCCTGCAAGGCTGAGCCATACTATCAAAATGCATTGGTTGTGCGATCCAACAGGCATGCCCGATGGGTTTAGAGGTGTAGACTGGTGGGTAGAATTGAATAATGTCAGAGACCTGGTCGAGACGAAGGAGTGTCTCCATGGCGGAGGGCTTTGGCCTCAGCGACTTGTGCCAGGAGCGCTGTGCCAAGTAACACGTCTGTGCCCTAACTTACTAAACTGGCAACCAGAACTGAAGGGGGTAAACTCTAGTCAATTTTATTACTGAAGTGTAACCTATGTACAAGTTGAGTATATATAGTTACAGCGAGGGCAGGTCTGCAAATGGCAGAGCCGAGCCGAGCGGAGCTAACGGGGTTAGACATTAGCTGATTGAATATTACCGACGAGTCGGGTTACAGGGTTAATGGAAAGGCAGGCGATAACCCAGAAACGGAAAGGAGGGATAGGCCCGAAGGTGGGCTTTGCAGGGCAAGCAAGTGTATTGTCCAGTGGAGGTGGGAGTGTGCTAGCGGATGTCAGAGCTGTCCGGAAGCCTTCAGGGCTCCATATTTAGGGAGGTGTAGGTAATAAATTGAAAGGAGGGGGTGGTGACCACCAAGGGGTACCGAGGGGATTGCGGAATACAGGAGCTCCGAGGTTAGTGAAGAAGGAGTGGAAGTAGACTGGAGGGATCGGAGGGATCGGAAGTCGATGGCCAGGGATGGATATGACAGTATCCCCTTCTTAGGCCTGAACCCTTGAAGGCCCAGAATTAGTAAGGTGAGGGGAGCTGTACTTACAGAAAAGAAAAAATGAAAATGGAAGTGAGGAGTGGAGAGAAAGGAGAGATGAGAGAGGAGTCGGGGTTCCTAAGGGGCTTCGGGTCCAGGCTTATCTGGGTACCGAGAGTGGAACGCTTCGACGAGGTCGGAGGCATGATCGAGTTCCCCGGCAAGGAGCCATTGTGTCTCCTCATCGGTCCCTTCATAGCCTAGCCACTTGACCAGGTAGAGCAACTTGTTGCGTCTATGTCGGTCGATCTTGGAGTTGAGTATCTCCTCGATCTTGAACTCCATTTTTCCTTCGATTTCTATGGGAGGTGGAGGTGGCTGGTGGCGGTTCGGAATGATGTTCAGGATGGAGGGTTTGATCTGTGAGACATGGAATACCGGGTGAATGGCTTGCATGTTTTCCAGCAGGTGGAGGGTGAGGGAGTGAGTTCCAATGCAGGCAATGATCTTGAATGGGCCGAGGTTCTTCTTGGAGAGCTTTTTGGAAGGTTGGGTGGAGCGGAAATACTTGGCCTTTACGTAGACCGAGGTTCCTACTTTGAAAGCTGGGGCAGGACTCTGACGGGAGTCTGCGGGGCCCTGATAACGGATCTGAGCGAGATGCATTTCCTTGCGAAGGAAGTGATGGAGGGAGTCGAGATCTATGGAGTACTCTTGGGCACGTACTGATGTCAGGTCTCGCTCTGGGTGAACGGTGATGTTCAGATGGTAGCCTTTGTTGGCAAAGAATGGGGAGACGCCTGTGGTGGCATTCGGAGCGTTGTTGTATGCGAATTCCGCAAGAGGCAGGAGTTCGGACCAATTGTCCTGCTGGTAGTTACTGTAGATGCGCAGGTACTGCTCGAGCATCTGGTTCATCCGTTTGGTCTGACCGTCTCCTTCCGGATGATAACCGGGGGTGAAGTGGAGGCAGATGTCAAGGGCCTTACCAAGTGAACGGAAAAAATGAGAGACAAACTCCGGACCCCTGTCGGAGGTGACGTGGGGAGGAACTCCGTGCTTGGAGAACACATGGAGGAGGGAGAGCTTGGCCAGTTCCGGAGAGGTGATGGTGTCGTGGGTAGGGATAAAAATGCACTGTTTGGACAGGTGGTCCACGACAACCAAGATGGAAGTGAATCCGGAAGAGGAGGGTAGCTGTTCGATGAAATCCATGGAGATGGAGTTCCAAGGATGTTCGGGGATGGGGAGTTGTTTGAGCAAGCCGTAAGGCTTATGACGGGGAACTTTGGCATGGGCACAAGAAGTGCAGGAGGATACATAACTCTTGACAAAGTTATGGATGCCCGGCCAGGTATACTCACAATGCACTAGATCCAGAGTCCGGTTTTGACCGAAGTGTCTGGAAAGTTGGTGGTCGTGTTTGTCTCGCAAAACGCGGAGATGGAGATCGTTAGAATCCGGAACGTAAATGCGGTTGTCCAGCCTTAACAGGCCTTCGGCATCAATGGACCAGCGGGAATTGGGGAGGTTGGGGGAAGCAAGATGAGAAGAGATTGTGGTGTCGGAGGAGAGGGAGGCTAGAATGTCTCGATGAAGAGCCTCTGTGTCGACGAGTACGGCTGCTCGGATTACTGTGGCAGCTAGGAACGTAGCTTGTAAGGACGCAGTGAGCTGCTCCGAAGTGAAGACCGGTCGGAAGTTCTGCGGGTTGACGTGAGCGTAGTCCATATCCCCTTCTTTGGGATAGACGTCCCAGCGTCTAGTCAATGCATCCGGTTCCACTCCGAGTCTTCCGGGACGGAATCGGACAGTCATGTGGAACTGGGAGAGGAACTCCGACCAGCAGGCTTGCTGCCAGGTCAAGAGTTTGGTGGTGGAAAAATACTTGAGGTTCTTGTGGTCAGTGACGACGTCGATTGGGGTTCCTGAACCTTCAAGGTAATGACGCCATGATCGGAATGCATCATGAATGGCAAGCAGTTCCTTATCATGGGTGTCATAATTGAGCTCCGGCGCCGAGAGTGTTCTAGAGCGGAAAGCGACGGGGCGAATCTCTCCGTCATCGCAGCGGATGGACAGGATTCCGGAGATTGCGTAGTCGGAAGCGTCGGTTTCTACAATGAGGGGGGTGTTGGGTAGCCAATGTGTAAGGATAGGAGCAGAAGTGAAGGCTTCTTTCAAGGTGTTGAAAGCAGAGCGACAATCGTCAGAGAATAACCAGGGGGCTCCTTTATGCGTGAGGCGCATCAAGGGGACCACAATGTCAGAGTATTGGTGGATGAAACGCCGATAGAAGTTAGCGAAGCCACGGAAGGATTGGACATCCTTGACTTTACGGGGCTTGGGCCAATCTTGGACAGCTTTGACCTTCTCGATGGACATGGTGAGTCCGGAGGGAGAGAGGCAGTATCCGAGATATTCCGTAGTGTCCGTATGAAACTCGCATTTCTTCGGATTGGCATATAGACCATGTTTGTGGAGTCTCCTAAGAACTTCTCGGACATGCTCCTGATGTGAAGCCATGTCTTCCGAGTAGGTAAGGATGTCGTCTAGGTAGACTACCACAGAAACGTCCAAGAGGTCAGCAAAGATCGTGTTGACGAATCGCTGGAAGGCTGCAGGTGCATTTGTGAGACCGAATGGCATGACAAGCCACTCATAGGAACCATAGCATGTGCAGAAGGAGGTCTTCCATTCGTTGCCTGCTGCAATGCGAACCAGGTGGTAAGCATGCCGGAGGTCGAGTCTGGTGTAGACCATGGCACGGCTAGGTGCGTCAAGGAGGTCGGAGATGCAGGGGAGTGGGTAGCGATCCTTTTTGGTGATCTTGTTCAGCCCTCGGAAGTCAACGCAAAGATGGAGGGATCCATCCTTCTTGCGGATGAAGAGGACCGGTGCCGCGTGAGCGGAAGTAGCGGGACGAATGAACCCGGAGGCCAGGTGTTCATCTAAGAATGCCCGGAGGGCCTCAAGTTCCGAAGTAGAAAGAGAGTACATAGTACCCAAGGGTGGTGAAGTGCCTTCCTCAAGGTCAATCTTCAGGTCGTACTCACGGTGCGGTGCCAGCGTCGAGGCTTTGCTCTTACTGAACACATCCGCAAACTCATGATACTCCTTCGGAACGGCCAAGAGGTCGACGGAATCGGTGTGGGATGAGGCAGCCCTCAAGCGGCTTTCCTCGGAAGGGATGGTTAGGCTGAAGGATACCGATCCTTCAAGTCGACAAGCCTTCGTGAATGTGGAATGGCTGACAAACTCGATAGATGGTAACGGAGGAGTGGGAGCCTGTGACTGAGGTGCTGGCGAAACATCAGATGGTTGGATGTCGGACGACGGCAGTAGTGCCGGAGACGACAGGGGAGAGCTCGGAGTAACTGTCTTGGTAGGTTCGGAAGTTCGGAACGTAATACTGCTTGAGACCCAGTCAATCAATGGATTGTAGCAGGTAAGCCAGTTGTGTCCTAGGACTAAGGAACAAGATCCATCCAGCGATGTGACAAAGAAAGTCGTGGGGGTGATGTTTCCAGAAGCGAAGTGGAGGGGGATATCGATGGCACGGGTTATGATTGAGTTGGTGCTACCATCAAATAGGCATAGTTGTAGGGGTTTAATCTGATATGTCTTCAAGGCCAACTTCTTTATGAATGTGTCATCGATGAAGCAGTCTGAAGACCCAGAGTCTATGAGTGCGGGTACGTTCTCATAGGAGCGGAAAAGTTTATTTTGTGTCCTATCATTGGACAGAGGAGAAGGGACAGGAGAAGAGAAAGAAGAGAAATGGAGAGAGGTGGATCGATCTACGGAAGTAGTCAGAGGGGCGGAGGAGAGAGTGGTACATCAGCAACACTATCTACAACGGGTAGAACATTAACCGAAGGGTCAACATTGAGAGGAGAAAATAGACCATTTGAAAGAGAAAAAGAAACGGGAATATAGAGGGAGGATAAGTCGGAGATGGAAGATGCATTTAAACGCACTTCTTTGAGCACACGGAAGGAAGGATCGCAACCCCCGGTCCGTGCGGAGTCCATGGGGGTGCGGACTAATTTTTTGCTTCTGTGGAAGCGGATCCTTGCTCCTCAGTCTGGGCCAAACGGGCCTTGGACGTGCGAGAAGAAGACTTGGGCAATCCTTGACTATATGGCCAGACTGACCGCAGAACATACAAAGTTTCTCGTCGAGACGATGCTTATGCTCTTGTAGCGTGAGCTTGCTGTTGTCTCCGAGTTTGGACGAAAGGTCCGGTTTAGCAGAGCTGGCCTCAGACTTCTTGTTGTCCTTCGGAGGCTTGCTACCGGAAGCGGAGTTGAAAGAGGAGGAGGAAGGGAAGGGGTCGGGACGAGAAGCGGCGTTGGACTTGTTGAAAACGTTAGAGGAGGAGGGTTTCGTGTGACGTGTAACTTCAGATTTACGCTCCCAATAGCACGCATCGAGAGTTTGTGAGGTGCGAAGTTCTGAAAGAGTAGAAGGTTTACCTACTCTGGCAATATCGTCCTTGATACGTTCTGGCAATCTGTTATAGAAAAAACGACGAAGCACGGCTTCTCCGTAACCATGAAATTGAGAGGCGTGTCGGTTGAACTCGACGACGTATTTATTGATGTGGTGCCCGTCCTTCATGTCCAGGGTCATTAGTTGAACTTCAGTGTCGCTCACAGGATTGTGAGGACCGAAGTTGGTTTGAAGTTCATTGACGAACTCTTGATAGTTATTCATCCATCGCGGACGAAGCGTAGAATTTTGGTCGAATAATAGATCCGGCTCGAACCAATCGAGGGCCATTCCCTTGAGGTAGGACTGTGCAAAGATGACCTTAGCGCGGTCACTAGCAAAAGCGAGGGGACGGTCCTGGAAATTGAGTTCGCATTGGACCAGAAATACTCGGAGTTCTCGGGGATCTTTCCTGTTGAACTGTTCGGGCTCACGGACCTTGGTCCGGAGAGCAGAGGATGGGGGAGGTGGTGGACGACCAGTGTGACGAGCCAAGCTGGCAATGGCTTGGGCTAATTGTGTAATAGCCACGTTGGGGATGGGTTCGGCATCATCAGTGGTTGGGACAGTGGGGATGGGAGGATCAGCAGGAGGAGGGTCAACAAAGTTGGGGACCTTGGAACCGAGTCCAAAGAAGTGGATGGGGTCTATTGGTTGTTCTGTGGTGTCTCCGAAGTCGGAATCTGCAACTGGTGATCGATTCCTAACGGGATGCATGATCGGAGTCGATGGGAGAGGGGTTTCAAGATTAGAAAAGCTTCGAAACTCAACTGGGTTTCTCACCAATCGACTAGGACCAGGCTGTGAGGGTTCTGGGGACGGTGAGGCAGAGTTGGGAACTAATGTGTGTAGTTGCGAATGAGTGTGAGGGGCTTTTGGTGCCATACAAGATGTGTACTAGTCAGGGAGTAATAAAATACTGTCAGAGACCTGGTCAAGACGAAGGAGTGTCTCTGTGGCGGAGGGCTTCGGCCTCAGCGACTTGTGCCAGGAGCGCTGTGCCAAGTAACATGTCCGTGCCCTAACTTACTAAACTGGCAACCAGAACTGAAGGGGGTAAACTCTAGTCGATGTTATTACTGAAGTGTAACCTATGTACAAGTTGAGTATATATAGTTACAGCGAGGGCGGGTCCGCAAATGGCAGAGCCGAGCGGAGCAGAGCTAACAGGGTTAGACATTAGCCGATTGAATATTACCAACGAGTCAGGTTACGGGGTTAACGGAAAGGCAGGCGATAACCCAGAAACGGAAAGGAGGGATAGGCCCGAAGGTGGGCTTTGCAGGGCAAGCAAGTGTATTGTCCAGCGGAGGCGGGAGTGCGCTAGCGGACGTCGGAGCTGTCTGGAAGCCTTCGGGGCTCCGTACTTAGGGAGGCATAGGTAATAAATTGAAAGGAGGGGGTGGTGACCATCGAGGGGTACCGAGGGGATTGCAGAATACAGGAGCTCCGAGGTTAGTGAAGAAGGAGCGGAAGTAGACTGGAGGGATCGGAGGGATCGGAAGTCGATGGCCAGGGATGGATATGACAAATAATCTCTATACAAAAGTGCATCAATGTAGATATCATACCAAGATCAACTAACAAGTAACACTCCCCAGGTAATTTTTTGTGGCAAAGGCTCAAACCAAACCTTGACACACATAATCAATCAGTCTTCACTGATTGACACATATTGCTCAGTTCACACAAATATCGAGAAGAATTTCACTGTCACACCTAATAGCACTCGGCACGCTCCAACTAACATGGCCAATACACTCCAGGAACTATGCAAGAAAATCAGATCCTACCATTGCCATTCCCTGGTCCCAGGCTCACATGTTGAGGCCGAAGTACCAGATATTCTTAACGATGGGCTAGCAGAGTACTATCAGGTGAATTCCGAGGAGGTCGATCTAGAAAAAGGGGATACAGAGTTAGGGGCCTTAGAGATGGATGATCTTGAGGCAATGTGATGTATTGTTCCTAGGAAGAGCCCATTTATAATGAGAACAAATAGGTCAAGGAGAGATGTGGCTGTTAGAATGGGGCTGATACAGACGACTCCGGAGTGGAATCGGAGACTTAGTGTGGAGGGACCTTGCCTCAGCGACTCAAGCGGAGCGCTGTGCCATTGCTGTTTGTCCATTTGGTCCTTAATTTCACAGTAGGTGAGCAGGAAGTCTCTAGGGGGCATTTCAGGTCAATTTCGGACTGAACCAAAACGAGTATGTACAAGCGCCGATATATATAATGGAGGGGGCAAAAGCACAAGGAAAACAAAGGGTACCGAATCGGAACGAAGACGTCCGAACGGGAACAAAGGGTAGAAGAAGCGGAGCGGTACCGAAGGTCATAAGGCAGGACCTGTGATACGTCCGAAAGGAGGTAGGGAGGGCGAGGCCCAGAGGGCAGGAGGATGAGGGGAAGTGGGGATGATGACTAACTGGCTAGAATAGGAAGAAGCAGTAGTCCAAATAGGGATGAGGGGAAAACGTGAGGGATACATTACAAGCGGCGAAAGTGCCGAAGGCAATCCACGAAGCTCGGGGGTTACGGAGGTTACGGAGGTGGGGTTGAAAGTCCGAGGGATATTGGCAATGGTGTTTACGTAGTATGAGGTCACCAATGCAATGGACTAAGACCGAGGTGGAGTCAAAGTCCGAGGTAGGGACTGTGACGGAGGCTCGGAGCAAAGGTATGAGCGGTGTCCGAGTACGAAGTATGGGACAGCGGTGGAAGGTCGTAACTTGGCGGGAGGTGGCGGAGGAGGAGCAGAGTAGGAGGAGGAGGAGTAGTAGGAGGTGGCGAGAGGGGCGGCGTTCGGTCCGAGGTGAGTATTGGAGCAGACGGAGATAGGGGAGGAGAGGGAAGGAGGAGCAGAGGCGGCGTGGGGGTGAGAGGAGGTGTGTTGCCAGGACCGGAGGTGAGTATCGGAACGGCAGCGGTAAGGTATGACTCCGGAGGTGAAGAGGGTGGAGGTCCGGAAGTCGGGTCGGGGTCAGGTATGCACGGATATGACAGTGGCACAAAAAGGGAAATTTGGCACTTGCCGTTCCTTGTTTGTCTCTGGGAAGCACATGCCGCCTGCCCCACCTACCCCTCCATTTCCGGCAAAGCCTTGCACTGCAGAACAGCTACAGCTTGACAGCACAAGTCGCTTTGGTCAGAGACCTTGTTGATGGCAAAGTGATATTGCATTCCAACTGGTTCATCGGAGAAATTTGGTGTCCATTTCTGCTACAGGTTCTGGGAAGAGCTTTATCTTCTGGCTCCCCATGCTATATGAGAATGGACTCATGATAATTGTTGTTCCATTGAAGAACCTAGGACAGCAGCTTGCTGATGAATCTTCTTGGAGGGGATTCTGTGCTGTGTCAGTGACAGCAGAGCTGTTGGGAGAGTCACCGACATTGCTCGAAGTATGGGAATGAACTTACATTAGGTTCACAAAGCCTGATATGTAAAACCTAGGAGATCAAGTGCCTGCAGTTCTGAACAGTTGTCCTATCTCCTGAGCTAGCAGTCGACCCACACTTCATGCACATCTGGAATGAACCAAAAATCAAGAAAAAGATAAATCGCATAATTATTGATGAAGCCCACTGTGTCAGTCAGTGGGGAAGAGACTTCCGATCATCATATTTACATCTCTCCGCCTGCATGCCATCCTGGGAGAAGTATCCTGGTATTTGACATCAGCAACACTTCACTCACATGTGCTCCAAGACACCCTCTGTATAATTGGGCTACACCGGAATACTATGATCTACCGTCATTCCAATGATAGGCCAAACATCCATCTCTGTGTGCAGAGGATGAAGTATTCTATCACTTCTCACCTTGATCTTGCATTCCTTGTGCCGCTGAATCCTGAGATTGACAACTCAGACTGGGTCAGACAAAATATTCTGCAATTCCTCATCTACTGTAACTCACGAGTGGATGCTGAAAGTACGGCACTCTTCTTACAAAGCCACATACCAGTGCATGCTTGTCATCGGATTGTCTGGTATCATTCAGGGATGTCAGATGCATTTAAAAAGGAGACGATTGAGGAATATGAGAGGGGGGGAATATTAGGCCTCTGCTGTACAGACGCCTGTGGGATGGTCAGTAATTTGTGTACAAGCTCACCAATGTGGTCTGAAGACTCATCTACAGGGTCTTGATTTACGTCATGTCAGAATTGTTGTCCAGTACCGACTCCCGAAGAAAATTGATGCCATTGTACAGCGTTTTGGGTGCGCAGGACATGACTCCTCAATCCAAGCAACTGCTATCCTCCTGGTTGAGAAAACGTACTTCAGTAAGCCAGAATTGGAACGTTGGGCTTCAAGATTTGAAGATATGCCTTTGACTGTCCCTACAAAGCGGAAAACGGTAGATGAAGCTACAGTCAGTCCCCGAAAGCGGACTATCCTCAGAGAAAGAGGAAATACCCCAGCCATAGACAAAGTGATTGAGGACACACTAAACGCTGAGGCAAGTCCAGAAGAGCTACAAGCATGGGCTGAAATGAGCATTGACCCAGATGACCAGGCACCCAAAAGTGGTGAGGGCAGCAGAACCGATGACGATGCAGAAGAAAGGAGCGACAAGGGAGATGAGGATGGGAAGGTCAGCACAACTGATCAGCATCAAGGATTAGCTTCCGCTCTGCCTGAACGCCAAGAAACAGGGGTGAAGAGCAGGAGCACAGCAAAGAAACCTTCCCGCAAGCGTAAACCCCCTTCAGAGGAGCTGGATTGCCATCTTGCTGCCTTCGTCTATAACTCAGTACTTTTACTTTCAAATTGTGACCTCCGCAAAGGTTGCCAACGGAAAGTGCTTGATTTCCTATATGAAAACAATTCAGTTGGTGAGTATCTATTGCATCATTTGCACATACATACCATGGAAACTGAACCCATGTGAAGCTGAGGAGCCATTCTGTTGCAAACACTGTACCCACTGTCCACCTATGTCATGCTGTGATCTCTGTGACTCCATTCACACTGAAAAGATGCACGCTGCAGATCCCATCCCAAAATCCATGCGCAACCCCAACAAAATCAAAATTGATGAAAATCGGCAACTGACACCACTTGATGTGGAGCTTGAGCATAGGCTCAAAGAATTTCGAGTGAAGCTTCACACCAAGTGGTGGAAAGACATGGAAGATCATTTCCTTGGGCCGCACATATTTCTCAACTGCTCACACATTCAACTTCTCTGCAACCTTGCAAGCGCAGGACCACTGACCACTGTTGACGATCTTCGTAATAACTTCAAGTGGAATTGGATGGACGACCATGGTACCACTCTTCTTGGTATCATTCATGATGTCTATGGGCATTCGCCCCTGGCAGCGGTTCTTCCGGACAGTGACAAGATCTCAGAAGTGGCAATCACATCGGATGACCATTCTGCCATGTCTCATGTAGCCAGTACTTCTTCTGATTCCAAACCTCACGCAAAGCCACGAGTCAAAAAAGGCCCGGGTAGTCAGCGATGCAGCACTTGTCAGGGTTTTGGTCATAATAGTAAGTACTGCATTACTCCTCATCCCTAGCATATTGATATATACGGTGTTCTAGAGTCTAATCCGCAATGCCCTAAGAAGGTGCCTGCACCTCCACTTGCTAGTTCAGACCCCCCCTGTTCAGCCCCCACTGAGCATCACTCATGATCCCACCCCAAGCATAAATTCACTCAAACATACTGTAATTCCCATACCGAGACATTGCTATATAATACTAGTCTTTGTTATACAATTGATGATGCTGCACATAAGCCACAAACACTTCAATGCTGGCATAACACATACAGAGTTCCAACCAGCGCAAGACTGACATGCCTCGTACACGAGGCGACACCCCCGTGGGAATGTCATGTGTGACAAGTTGTGCCAGTTGCTCGTTAGATTAGAGGCCCCATGAAGTTGCAGATAAACCTTGGCAAATCAGAGAGCGACTGGGGAGGAGTCTGGGTTTAATATCCTTATTTCACATGACAAATCATGATGGTATCTAGCGCTGAATGGTGCCGCATGGTCCTGCATTTTTGCAGCACTGATGGGACCTTGCAGGTGCTGATGATGATGATGATAAATCTATCTTAATACCCTGTGGCCTCGTGATGACATGGCAGTGCGGCTATCCCGTCCTAACACTGGAGCATACATGGGGGGAATATCTATACATGGTGGTATTCTGGGTGGTGTATTCAGGTGTCAATGATCCTTGGGTTCTGTGGTGTCCATAGGTATTGTTGTGGTGATAAAAAAATAAAAATAAGAAATGGAAAAAATGAAGAGGTTCCATCTGTCCCCTGCAAGTCCTGTTCTGCTTCGTCTATCCTGTGAGTCAGTCAGGCAATGGCAGTCCTTGCAGTGTGTTTGTTGTCATTGGTTTGTCACCTGTCTTGGACTTTTTGATGAAATTGGCAAGCCTTTCTATGCCTTTCATCTTGCCCACGAGGATGTGGAATTTTGTCTGGTTTCTGCGTCCTAGTAGGTATCTGTGTCTACTTGTCCAGGGGCACTCCATCAGAATGTGGGCCCTCGTTTGTGTTGATTTACCGCATTGACATGCTCTATTCTCCATTGTGATTCCAAATTGGTGGTAGTACTTGCCAATGTGAGCATGTCCTGTTTGGAACTGGATTACATGGCTGAAGGTTTTTCTGTCGAGTTTTCTGAACCATTTGGTGGGTCTAAGCTTCAGTGCGAGTTGGTTCGCTGCATAGAAGCCCGATCTTGGGGGGTTCGGTGTGTTCGTCCATCGGTGAGTTCATGTTTCAGCCATCTCTCTCCTGTGCAGGCTCTCTATGTACAAGAGTGTCAGGGGACAGACCCCGGGTCCCCATGACCCCTCCCTCTATAGCCCACAGCCCTGTGTGTAAACAGCCTATCCTAAGGCACAACCTACTGTGGGTAAGAAAGTGAGAAGAAGGTTAACTTCTCACTTTCCCACAGTGGCCCCAATATGGCGAAAACTTCTGGGGATACCCGGAAGTCACATGAAGGTAGGATCCAGGGACCGGAGCATGCGGCACAGGAAGCGCGTGCAGGAAGCGGAGCAGGTCCGGATGCGGGTCCGGGTCCGGGCTAAGTCAGGGTATGTGCCCTGACAGAGAGTGATTTAAAGTTGGGTTGGGCTGGTCGTGCACCTTCTTTTGCTAGCTGGTTGGCTCCCTCGTTCCCTGGGATTCCAAGATGGCCTGGGCACCAGTGCAATGCGATTTTTGTCTCCTCAGAGTCTGTTAGGACTTTGCATATGGTATTCCTGAAGTCCCTGGCTAGTTCCTGGGCCTTGCGAGGTTTACCCTGAAAGACGCATTTTAGTGCACTAGTATTATCTGCGTATATGATGATGCAGGTGGGTTTTGTGGTGACGTTACCATCATCTAGGGTGCATCTGATTCCATCCATGGCTGTTTTCAGGCCCATCATCTCTGCATCGTAGGCTTCAACATGTTCGCCCATTGCTCCTTTCTCCTTGAAGACAACTTTGCCATGTGAGTATCTGTCATATCCATACAATCCCGACCTCCGCTCTGGGCTCCCGGAACTCCGAAACCGACTCCGGAGCCCTACTTCCCTTCTGTCACCTTCTCCTTGCCGACTCCCAAGAGGTTATCCCACCTCCGGCTCCGACACCACCTTCGGTCCAACTCTGGAACATTCCAGGTCCGACCTCAACCTCAACACCTCCCAGATAAGCATGCAACACCTATGCTCCCGACTCCGGACCTCTGCTCTGGAATCCCATTTGTGTCTCTGTCTCCGGAACCTCCGGTCTTAGCTCCGACCTCGGACTTTGACCCCACCTTTATACCCATTGTATTGGTTAGCTCATTCCATTTAATTACGTTTGCCAATATTCCGGAGTTTAACTTCCGAGTTCGGACTTTCCGGACTTACCTCGGACCTTGCAACTATTGCATTGTCCCATTCAATTCCGCTATACTCCCTCATTCCTATTTGGGCTGCTGCTTCCTTTCTATTCAGTCAGCTGGCCATTCCCCACTCCCATCCTCCTTCCTTCCTCTTTGGGCCTTGGCCCTTCACTCCTCCTTTGGGAAACACCATTGAGTCAAACCCTTGACCCTCAGTGTTGTTCCTCCTTCCAGCTCCCTTTGTCTGCTTTTGGAGTACCCTTGCTCCTTTTGATTCCGGACCCCTCCTTATATACAATGTACATAGTAACTTGTAACCTCAGTCCGAAATTGACCTGAAATGCCCCCAAGAGACTTTCCCTCTGCTAGATCCGAAATTAGGGACCCCCAGGACAACCAGCAATGGCACAGCGCTCCGCCTGAGTTGCTGAGGCCGAGGTCCTTCCATGCTAAGTCTCCGATTCCACTCCAGAGTCGTCTGCCCTCACCCAGTTCTAACAGTATCCTACTGCACCAAAGCCAGTTTTGATTCTGCCATCGTCTTTGTATTGGGATCCATCCAAGTAGATGAGGAGTGTGTTTGGGTCATCTTCACACTCTGTGACAAAGTTCATGTGGTCGTCAGCCCATTCCTGTTTGAATGAGTTTCCAGGGTCATCTGGCAGGGTGAAGAGTTGGATTTGGTCGGTGATGTCATGTGCAGATGTGTCCCATTGTCAGGGCACACACCCTGACTAGCCTGGACCCGGACCCGCATCCAGACCCGTGTCTGCCCGCTGTAGGAGAAATAATATTCAAAGAATAAAACAATGATCTATCAGAATAGTCAACGAACAGGTGACAAGTTCAGACGTTTAACAGATCTCATGATCTTTATGAGACTGGACAGACATTAGATCATTATAAATTATCTACACCCATGTAGCATGAGATTTAATCTACTACAATCATGCCTAGAACTTGGCATAGGTGTAATATTCAAAGAATATATCCCTACACCGCTGCGCTTCCTGCATCCGCACACTGCATGTTCCGGGCCTGGTTCCCACCCCCTCATGTGACTTCTGGGTATCCCCGGAAGTTTGCCTGATATTGTGGCCACTGTGGGAAGATGAGAAGTTAGCTTCCTTCTCATCTTCTTACCCACAGTAGGTTGTGCCCTGGATAGGGCTGGTTACACCAGTAGGCTGTGGACCATAGGGGAGGGTCATGGGGACCCAGGAGTCGTCCCCTGACACCCATGGGCTTTCAAGGAGTGTGTTATGGAAATGGGAATTTCCCATTTCTAGCCTCTTATGGGCTCTGTACAGTACAAAGTCACGTGATATGTAGATATTAACAAC